TGATGGAGATGTTTCAAAACGCTTTCATTGAACACCACAACATTTGTTTTAACGTGATTCTATAGGAAATAAAAAACATAATTACGAATTTTAGCTCACAATTTGGACCTTTATGTTTTATTCCGTGACCAAAACAAGCATCTATGAGAATCCCAACCCAGTCGTGTTAGCGGCCCCTAAGTTAATCACTAATTCTCTTTATAACGGAAGTGAACCAATCAAAACTAACTTTATCTGGACGATAACTTTATTCTAGATCTGCTGTAAAGCCCAAACACTCTGTGTGACTGTAATCTCCTGTTATTATCACTGTAACGCTGCTGTGTACTGTTAAAGATCTGTATAAATGAAGGAGACTTGACTTGCCAATCTAAAAATGAAAAGAAATACATTAGGAATTGTAAGAAGGTTCAGTCAGTCATACTTGCTGAGTTTTAGACGTGTTTTTGTTACAGAATAACTGCATTTTCTCTTCTTTGTGTTTCAGAAAAAAACAAACCAACGGAGATTAATCAGACACTTTTGTTTTCGGATCCAATGTCGGGTGAGAACAAACTCTGAACATCCAAAGTCGGACACTTCAGCAAACAAAAACCTCCAGGAGATCAGACAGAAACATAGAGTCGGCCCACATCCGGCCCACATCCGGTACACGAGGATTCAATGCATGCCAGATGTGGGCCGGATCTGGGCCAAGGTTCTTTTAACGTTATGAACATTTACACGTTCTTCCAGTTACGATAATAAATGTTACGATGTTTTCTCTGACATGTTTTAGTTGGATGTTCGCCTGACGTTTTTTAATGTTTCTTCAGAGAACCTTCAAAAGAAACGTTCCCATAACGTTTGAAGAATGATACAATGAACGTTACGTTCACACCACCAAGAAAAACTTGCTGGACATTTTGAACTTTCAGGAAACATTCAGAAATAATGTTTTGTAGCTTAACGGGAACGTTAGCAAAACATTCTTAGAATTTGTCTGTTAGCTGGACAAATGTAGATGTGCGCGGAGCTTCGTTCAGCTGAATCAACACATCTGTGTCCTGCTGTTCCAGAGATCAGAGCGATCCGCAAGCTTACCGAGAGCCAGCTGCAGTGTGGCGTTCCCAACATGGAGTATGAGTTCAAAGCGGAGGACGCCGCGACCCTACGCCGACGCAGAAAACGCCTAGTCGGAGGGGAAGAGGCGTTACCGGTCAGTCGTGAAACACACGACCTCAGATATGTGCTCCGATACCAACAACCGATATAGTGAAACCTACACAGTGTGTGTGTGTGTGTGTGCAGACAAAGAAACAACAGAAAGTAGAATGGGGATAAAAAATAAGGCTGTCTATTAAGTAAATGTGTCTTATTTGTGGAATATTAAATTCAATACAGTAACACATAACTTAGCTGTGGACACGCGCAGTGGATGATTTCACTTCGCATAAAAAATGCCTCATTGTTTTGGTTTGGCCTCTGTGTGTGACCTTTGCCCCCGCAGACCCAGATACAGTGGCAGGTGGCCATTCAGGACGAAGGCTCGATCCACTGTGGAGGGGCGTATCTCGGCGGCTGCTGGGTTTTGACCGCCGCCCACTGCGTCAGGTACAACCAATCGGTAGATCGAGGCTTCGAAGCAATCCAACACGGTGACCTCTAGTGGTCAGAACAGTGTAAATGCAACAAAAACCCGAGTCGAATAAAAGTAAGATTATGTGTTCTCTTATCAATGGTCAGGTTTGTTTTATGAATGGCTCAGCTAAACAGGCCAATAAGAGGCTATTAACTACCATTATTCGTTTGAATTACACTAATTGGTTCATTGGTTCTCCTCAGTGAATCAGAGAGTTTTGAAGTGTTTGGAAACAGTTCTGGCGTAATGAAGCCTCGTTTACTGAAGTCACGTGACTCTGGCGGTTTAATACACTCTCCGAACCATTGATTCGGAACCAAAGATTCGTAAAGGTTTCGAAGCTTCATGAAGCAGTGTTTTAAAATCGCCGTCATTACCAATCGGCACACGTTTTGATCAGCCTGTACAGAGTTGTGCATTTGCGTGTCGTGTGTCTAGGCCCAAACCAAAGTCCTACCGAATCAAGTTCTCTCTGTGGAAGAAGCATCGTAAGCAGTCGACGACAGACAGCATCCCGGTGAAGAACATCATCATCCATCATGAATATGACGCACAAACCTACGCCAACGACATCGCTTTGGTGCAGCTGGAGCCGCTGAATCTGTCGGACAAGTGTATGGTGGATAACCCGGCGGTGCGATCCGTGTGTGTGCCCTGGTCCACTGAGCAGTTCCAGCCCAACGACACCTGCACCATCTCCGGCTGGGGCCGCGACAAAGGTGCGCTACACCTGACATGTGGAACCGCCAGCACGGGATCCATCCTTTCATGCATTTACATTTAATCCATTCATTCTGTTTCCATTTTGGAATTGCTCACCCAAAAATGAAAAATTAGCCCATCATTTTCTCCCCGTAAGTCATCTTAGGTGTATATGACACTCTTCTTTCAGACGAATACTCTCAGAGTTAAATTAAAAAATGTTCAAAGTCCATAAAAGTGCATTTACCCATTATAAAGTGCATTTTATGATGGACAGATGCACTTTTATGATGGACAGATGCACTTTTATGATGGATAGATGCACTTTTATGATGGATAGATGCACTTTTATGATGAATAGATGCACTTTTATGATGGATAGAGCACTTTTATGATGGATAGATGCACTTTTATGATGGATAGATGCATTTTTATGATGGACAGATGCACTTTTATGATGGACAGATGCACTTTTATGATGGATAGATGCACTTTTATTATGGACAGATGCACTTTTATGATGGATAGATGCACTTTTATGATGGACAGATGAACTTCTATGATGGACAGATGCACTTTTATGATGGACAGATGCACTTTTATGATGGATAGATGCACTTTTATGATGGACAGATGCGCTTTTATGATGGACAGATGAACTTTTATGATGGATAGATGCACTTTTATGATGGACAGACGCACTTTTATGGTGAGTAGATGCACTTTTATGATGGACAGATGCACTTTTATGATGGACAGATGCACTTTTATGATGGATAGATGCACTTTTATGATGGATAGATGCACTTTTATGATGAATAGATGGACTTTTATGATGGATAGATGCACTTTTATGATGGATAGATGCACTTTTATGATGGATAGATGCATTTTTATGATGGACAGATGCACTTTTATGATGGACAGATGCACTTTTATGATGGATAGATGCACTTTTATTATGGACAGATGCACTTTTATGATGGATAGATGCACTTTTATGATGGACAGATGCACTTTTATGATGGATAGATGCACTTTTATGATGGATAGATGCACTTTTATGATGGACAGACGCACTTTTATGATGAGTAGATGCACTTTTTTGAAGGACAGATGAACTTTTATGATGGATAGATGCACTTTTTTGATGAACAGATGCACTTTTATGATGAGTAGATGCACTTTTTTGATGAACAGATGAACTTTTATGATGAGTAGATGCACTTTTTTGAAGGACAGATGCACTTTTATGATTGATAAACTTTGATTGACTTTCAAAACAGAAACAGCCATTATAAAGCTTGGAAGAGGAATTGTTTTATATAACTCTGAGAGTTTTCTTCTGAAAAAAGAATGTCATATACACCAAGGATGACTTTTATGGATGAATTTACATTTTTGGGTGAACTATCCTTTTAAAATTATATTATTCAATATTATTGTTATTGGTGTGAAGAAGGTTTTAGATTATTTTAAGTTTTAATCCAGTGGGGTAACAGATTTTATTGTGTCTGTTTGTTTAAAGAGGGACAGTCAGCAGCGATTCTGAAATGGGCAAATGTGACGATTATCGGTGACTGCAATAATTATTACAAGGACCGTTTCCTCCCTGGAATGGAGTGTGCAGGTGTGTGTGTGTGTGTGTGTGAGTGTGTGTGTTTGACTAAACACTAAAATTTGTGATCATACGCAGAATATAATACTGCCTTCACATGCTATCAGAATCATCGTAAATACAAGTTTCCTCATCAGTAAATTGTACATGAACGGCCTCTCAAACTGCACTTATGATTGAGAAACTCAGATCATTTTCATAGCCCATAAACTAGCAATTTCTGAATGAAAATGTTTCAAAACCAACTGTAATTCAGCAGATAGCCTAAGAAGCATTTCGTAAAGATATCACATGAGTGTGTACTGTAGGCCTGTGCTTCTGTAAGTAATGTTGAAGTATAATTAACCGAACAGTGGCATGAGCTGAGACTCTTGGTTCACCCGTTCCTGCTCTCTCATTGGCTGTGCTCTGTGTCAGGTGACCTGGAGGGGAAGGTGGACTCGTGTCAGGGCGACTCTGGAGGGCCGCTGGTGTGTAAAGACGCGTCTGGCGTGTCGTACGTGTGGGGAATAGTGAGCTGGGGGGAAAAATGTGGCGAACCCAATAATCCTGGAGTCTACACAAAAGTGGCACATTACTTCGACTGGATCCGCCTCCACACAGGCTGGGCTGCTGTAACCAAATATAACCAGTAAAATTAATTTGTTAACATTTGCCGATTGATTTTACTGTATGAGCTTTTGAACTTCTCTTTGTGCTTGCTATTAAAATGCTTATTATACATTTATCTGGCAATTTTAAATCTCAGTCCTGTTTCTTCTTTTGTTTCCATGTATTTCGTAGTTTGTGGTGTTTCTGAGAAATTCAGTGTTTATGTTGTATTTCTGATGTGAATCATTACACACACACACATAAATGAATATATTTGCAAATAACTGGATTCTGTGTCTGTTTGTTTTCTTGACAATACAAAATGTGTTTATGTTTCCTGTACTCACACAAAAAGACCATGACTGCTTTGTAACTTTATATGAAGTGGGGGAAAAATCAAGACAATTTTATCCATATACACTGATATATTCACTGTGGTTTAGTAGTCATTTATTGTTTCTACATATTTCAAACTATGAGATAAAAACAAATAAAATGTTCATGAAAAATCAGTACAAGATGCTGTTCATCTGTTTGACCACCAGATGGCCACAATACATTTTACAATTTTATAATATTTTTAATCTCCTTTGCAACCTATGAGATTTGTGTTAATCAGATGGGATCAAAGGGATCGTTCTCAAAATAAACTCTCATCAATTAACCATGTCGTTGTAATAATCAGAACACATACATTTTGGCTGAATTTAATAATAGACTGGAATACTTTAATGTAATCATTATTTATGTAAAAGCAGTAGTGTTTGAAACTCATCCACTTTATAGGCAACAAAGACGTGTTCTTCACCTTTGCCAGAAAGACTCTTGATTTCGCGATATTTTGACAGCGTTACTTTACAGTGGCGAACTCAAAACGCCTTAGTTGAGTAAGCGATCGGCCAAAACATAAACAGTTTTACGTTTTTATTTGAAAACGGTGTCATGTAAACACCCCCTAAATTCTGTGGGATATGACATCAGCTATGCTGAGTGATTCATTTATTATCGATCTCATTAATTAGCAGATTTGCCCCAATAATGAGTTAATCATCCAGGTGGTACAAATCTGTTTGGCTTTAAAAGGCCCGCATGGTTGGTTTGAAACTGTAGTGCTTCCAGTTGAGTTAGCTTTCTTAGCAGCTCAGTTTGTGTTATAGAATGGGGTTGATTAAAATTACTGTTTTGGTAGTTCTTTTTCACCAGTTAGTATGGCATGGTAAGTTTCATTTTTGATTGCTATTAATAAGGTTTCTTGTCTGTTTTCTTTATTTAATTGTCAAATGTTTTTCCTCAGCTTTCTGCACAGTCGAAGATGGATCCTTAGATTTCTCCTTGTGTGATGTTGGGAGAGTAGTTGGAGAAAAAGGTTCGTAAACCTGTGTTTCATAACCTAACATAGCCCTACTTTTGTACCAAAGTATTATGAGTTTATACTAACACAGTTACATGGTGGATCTTGCAATTTGCAAAAACACACACGCACAAAAAAAAAAACCCTGATGTCTTTCTCCCTCTCTCCAGAAAATTCTAGCTCTGTCCAACTGACAGCTGATGGATCTTGTTCTGTCAACGCCACCTTGAGCAATGATGATTCTGAGGGATCTGGTTCTGTCAACGCCACCTTGAGCAATGATGATGCTGAGGGATCTGGTTCTGTCAACGCCACCTTGAGCAATGATGATTCTGTCAACGCCACCTTGAGCAATGATGATTCTGTCAACGTCACCTTGAGCAATGATGATGCTGAGGGATCTGGTTCTGTCAACGGCACCTTGAGCAATGATGATTCTGCCAACTCCACCTTGAGCAATGATGATTCTGCCAACTCCACCTTGAGCAATGATGATTCTGTCAACGCCACCTTGAGCAATGATGATTCTGTAAACTCCACCTTGAGCGATGATGCTGAGGGATCTGGTTCTGTCAACTCCACCTTGAGCAATGATGATTCTGCCAACTCCACCTTGAGCAATGATGATTCTGCCAACTCCACCTTGAGCAATGATGATTCTGTCAACTCCACCTTGAGCAATGATGATGCTGAGGGATCTGGTTCTGTCAACGTCACCTTGAGCAATGATGATTCTGTCAACTCCACCTTGAGCAATGATGATTCTGTCAACGCCACCTTGAGCAATGATGATGCTGAGGGATCTGGTTCTGTCAACGTCACCTTGAGCAATGATGATTCTGTCAACGTCACCTTGAGCAATGATGATGCTGAGGGATCTGGTTCTGTCAACGCCACCTTGAGCAATGATGATTCTGTCAACGTCACCTTGAGCAATGATGATTCTGCCAACTCCACCTTGAGCAATGATGATTCTGCCAACTCCACCTTGAGCAATGATGATGCTGAGGGATCTGGTTCTGTCAACGGCACCTTGAGCAATGATGATTCTGTCAACGTCACCTTGAGCAATGATGATTCTGCCAACTCCACCTTGAGCAATGATGATTCTGCCAACTCCACCTTGAGCAATGATGATGCTGAGGGATCTGGTTCTGTCAACGTCACCTTGAGCAATGATGATTCTGCCAACTCCACCTTGAGCAATGATGATGCTGAGGGATCTGGTTCTGTCAACGTCACCTTGAGCAATGATGATTCTGCCAACTCCACTTTGAGCAATGATGATTCTGTCAACGTCACCTTGAGCAATGATGATTCTGTCAACGCCACCTTGAGCAATGATGATTCTGCCAACTCCACCTTGAGTAATGATGATGCTGAGGGATCTGGTTCTGTCAACGCCACCTTGAGCAATGATGATTCTGTCAACTCCACCTTGAGCAATGATGATGCTGAGGGATCTGGTTCTGTCAACGCCACCTTGAGCAATGATGATTCTGTCAACGTCACCTTGAGCAATGATGATTCTGTCAACTCCACCTTGAGCAATGATGATGCTGAGGGATCTGGTTCTGTCAACGTCACCTTGAGCAATGATGATTCTGTCAACTCCACCTTGAGCAATGATGATTCTGTCAACGTCACCTTGAGCAATGATGATTCTGTCAACGCCACCTTGAGCAATGATGATTCTGCCAACTCCACCTTGAGCAATGATGATGCTGAGGGATCTGGTTCTGTCAACGCCACCTTGAGCAATGATGATTCTGTCAACTCCACCTTGAGCAATGATGATGCTGAGGGATCTGGTTCTGTCAACGCCACCTTGAGCAATGATGATTCTGTCAACGTCACCTTGAGCAATGATGATTCTGTCAACTCCACCTTGAGCAATGATGATGCTGAGGGATCTGGTTCTGTCAACGCCACCTTGAGCAATGATGATTCTGTCAACGTCACCTTGAGCAATGATGATTCTGTCAACTCCACCTTGAGCAATGATGATGCTGAGGGATCTGGTTCTGTCAATGCCACCTTGAGCAATGATGATTCTGCCAACTCCACCTTGAGCAATGATGATGCTGAGGGATCTGGTTCTGTCAACGCCACCTTGAGCAATGATGATTCTGCCAACGCCACCTTGAGCAATGATGATTCTGCCAACTCCACCTTGAGCAATGATGATGCTGAGGGATCTGGTTCTGTCAACGCCACCTTGAGCAATGATGATTCTGTCAACTCCACCTTGAGCAATGATGATGCTGAGGGATCTGGTTCTGTCAACGCCACCTTGAGCAATGATGATTCTGTCAACGTCACCTTGAGCAATGATGATTCTGCCAACTCCACCTTGAGCAATGATGATGCTGAGGGATCTGGTTCTGTCAACGTCACCTTGAGCAATGATGATTCTGTCAACTCCACCTTGAGCAATGATGATTCTGCCAACTCCACCTTGAGCAATGATGATGCTGAGGGATCTGGTTCTGTCAACGCCACCTTGAGCAATGATGATTCTGTCAACGTCACCTTGAGCAATGATGATTCTGTCAACTCCACCTTGAGCAATGATGATGCTGAGGGATCTGGTTCTGTCAACGGCACCTTGAGCAATGATGATTCTGTCAACGTCACCTTGAGCAATGATGATTCTGCCAACTCCACCTTGAGCAATGATGATTCTGCCAACTCCACCTTGAGCAATGATGATGCTGAGGGATCTGGTTCTGTCAACGTCACCTTGAGCAATGATGATTCTGCCAACTCCACTTTGAGCAATGATGATGCTGAGGGATCTGGTTCTGTCAATGCCACCTTGAGCAATGATGATTCTGCCAACTCCACCTTGAGCAATGATGATTCTGTCAACGTCACCTTGAGCAATGATGATTCTGTCAACGCCACCTTGAGCAATGATGATTCTGCCAACTCCACCTTGAGCAATGATGATGCTGAGGGATCTGGTTCTGTCAACGCCACCTTGAGCAATGATGATTCTGTCAACTCCACCTTGAGCAATGATGATGCTGAGGGATCTGGTTCTGTCAACGGCACCTTGAGCAATGATGATTCTGTCAACGTCACCTTGAGCAATGATGATTCTGTCAACGCCACCTTGAGCAATGATGATTCTGCCAACTCCACCTTGAGCAATGATGATGCTGAGGGATCTGGTTCTGTCAACGCCACCTTGAGCAATGATGATTCTGTCAACTCCACCTTGAGCAATGATGATGCTGAGGGATCTGGTTCTGTCAACGCCACCTTGAGCAATGATGATTCTGTCAACGTCACCTTGAGCAATGATGATTCTGTCAACTCCACCTTGAGCAATGATGATGCTGAGGGATCTGGTTCTGTCAACGTCACCTTGAGCAATGATGATTCTGTCAACTCCACCTTGAGCAATGATGATTCTGTCAACTCCACCTTGAGCAATGATGATGCTGAGGGATCTGGTTCTGTCAACGCCACCTTGAGCAATGATGATTCTGTCAACGTCACCTTGAGCAATGATGATTCTGTCAACTCCACCTTGAGCAATGATGATGCTGAGGGATCTGGTTCTGTCAACGGCACCTTGAGCAATGATGATTCTGTCAACGCCACCTTGAGCAATGATGATTCTGCCAACTCCACCTTGAGCAATGATGATTCTGTCAACGTCACCTTGAGCAATGATGATTCTGTCAACGCCACCTTGAGCAATGATGATGCTGAGGGATCTGGTTCTGTCAACGCCACCTTGAGCAATGATGATGCTGAGGGATCTGGTTCTGTCAACGCCACCTTGAGCAATGATGATTCTGTCAACGTCACCTTGAGCAATGATGATTCTGTCAACGTCACCTTGAGCAATGATGATTCTGAGGGATCTGGTTCTGTCAACGCCACCTTGAGCAATGATGATTCTGTCAACGTCACCTTGAGCAATGATGATGCTGAGGGATCTGGTTCTGTCAACGTCACCTTGAGCAATGATGATTCTGTCAACGTCACCTTGAGCAATGATGATTCTGTCAATGTCACCTTGAGCAATGATGATTCTGTCAATGTCACCTTGAGCAATGATGATGCTGAGGGATCTGGTTCTGTCAACGCCACCTTGAGCAATGATGATTCTGTCAACGTCACCTTGAGCAATGATGATTCTGTCAATGTCACCTTGAGCAATTATGATTCTGAGGGATCTGGTTCTGTCAACGTCACCTTGAGCAATGATGATTCTGTCAACGCCACCTTGAGCAATGATGATGCTGAGGGATCTGGTTCTGTCAACGCCACCTTGAGCAATGATGATTCTGTCAACTCCACCTTGAGCAATGATGATTCTGTCAACTCCACCTTGAGCAATGATGATGCTGAGGGATCTGGTTCTGTCAACGCCACCTTGAGCAATGATGATTCTGTCAACGTCACCTTGAGCAATGATGATTCTGTCAACTCCACCTTGAGCAATGATGATGCTGAGGGATCTGGTTCTGTCAACGGCACCTTGAGCAATGATGATTCTGTCAACGCCACCTTGAGCAATGATGATTCTGCCAACTCCACCTTGAGCAATGATGATTCTGTCAACGTCACCTTGAGCAATGATGATTCTGTCAACGCCACCTTGAGCAATGATGATGCTGAGGGATCTGGTTCTGTCAATGCCACCTTGAGCAATGATGATGCTGAGGGATCTGGTTCTGTCAATGCCACCTTGAGCAATGATGATTCTGTCAACTCCACCTTGAGCAATGATGATTCTGTCAACGCCACCTTGCGCAATGATGATTCTGTCAACGCCACCTTGAGCAATGATGATTCTGTCAACGCCACCTTGAGCAATGATGATTCTGAGGGATCTGGTTCTGTCAACGCCACCTTGAGCAATGATGATTCTGTCAACGTCACCTTGAGCAATGATGATTCTGTCAATGCCACCTTGAGCAATGATGATTCTGTCAACGCCACCTTGAGCAATGATGATTCTGAGGGATCTGGTTCTGTCAACGCCACCTTGAGCAATGATGATTCTGTCAACGTCACCTTGAGCAATGATGATTCGGTCAACGCCACCTTGAGCAATGATGATTCTGTCAACGCCACCTTGAGCAATGATGATGCTAAGGGATCTGGTTCTGTCAACGCCACCTTGAGCAATGATGATTCTGTCAACGCCACCTTGAGCAATGATGATTCGGTCAACGCCACCTTGAGCAATGATGATTCTGTCAACGTCACCTTGAGCAATGATGATTCTGTCAACGCCACCTTGAGCAATGATGATTCTGAGGGATCTGGTTCTGTCAACGCCACCTTGAGCAATGATGATTCTGTCAACGTCACCTTGAGCAATGATGATGCTGAGGGATCTGGTTCTGTCAACGCCACCTTGAGCAATGATGATGCTGAGGGATCTGGTTCTGTCAACTCCACCTTGAGCAATGATGATTCTGTCAACGTCACCTTGAGCAATGATGATGCTGAGGGATCTGGTTCTGTCAACGTCACCTTGAGCAATGATGATTCTGTCAACGTCACCTTGAGCAATGATGATTCTGTCAACGTCACCTTGAGCAATGATGATTCTGTCAACGTCACCTTGAGCAATGATGATGCTGAGGGATCTGGTTCTGTCAACGTCACCTTGAGCAATGATGATTCTGTCAACGTCACCTTGAGCAATGATGATTCTGTCAACGCCACCTTGAGCAATGATGATGCTGAGTGGTCCGCTTCCGTCAACGCCACCTTCAGCTAGGATGATGTGGTGTCTGGTTCTTTTTTTTTTTTAGCCCCAGTCTATTTAACTTATGAATCAAGATTCTGTGTAACAAAATAAATTGTCTTTTGGAATGGGTTTCATGGTTTGGTTTGTCAACTCCTTTCGATTCGCTAGGGTTTTAGATCCAATTGGGTTAGTTTGTGATGGCAATTGTCATGTGGATTGCTGAAGCCCTGGCTATTAAATTTTCACTTATTTTTATGTTGAGAACATTTGAACCGTAGGGGTGTCCTGAGAATTTTCCCGCCATTTTGAATTTTCCCATACTTTTCAACATACTTTTTCAAACTCCTAGACGGTTTGTTCGATTTTCAGACCATTCTGGCAAAAATTATCAAAAGCTTTTTGTTCAATGGTTCTTGCACAAACGAATTTGATAAAGGCTATATCTCTAACACTAGCGTATTCAGACCAAACTTCGTACATGTCATCCCAAGCGTGACATGAGGCTACAGGCAGTGTTTTGGGACAGCGCCACCACCTGGTCAGGAAATTTGAAAATTATTCTTTTTTACTGAATGGTTTACCCAAATAATCATAGCACTGGTCTCTTCTGTGTCAGTGCATCATGATAAGTCAGTGCCCAGTTTTCCCAAATTGGCTATTGTGGGTGTCGGCTAATTCAAATTTCGCTTCACAACATCGTCCAGTGAAGTAAAAACCTTTTACATGGAGACTTTCTCATGAAACATCAATCATAGGGTTAAACCACAATGGCAAGCATCGCAAGAGATAAGTCATAATAAAACATTCCAAAAAGGAATAAAATTATGAATCATTCAATGATAAATTATATAAAATAAAAATATGATCACACCCACGATCGAAAATCATCGTGAAAATCATTTCATTTCTCTGAGATAAGTACACAGTATCTGAATGTTATTATTTTAGTAATTAAAGAGGGAACAAATTCATACTGATTATGCTTTATTTTTCTTCATAATTATCTGTGCCAGTTACAGACAGACACAAACACATCTGTTTTCATCACACACGCTCACACAATTCATGGAAATGTGGAAAAAAATTAACCCTTTATTTTGGTCAGTTTTGTGAGAAAGAATCGTTTCACATTGATATTCAACAAAAGGAACTGCACTCAGAGCTCTGGTTGAGGAAGCAGACGTTAAACATAAACAGAAGATGATGGTGTGGTCTTGTTTTCCTGCTCAGGCCGCGCGGACGCTGAAGAACGGTAGCGCTCGGATGAAAGAGTCCAGTTTGGTGTTGAACAGGTCGCTCTGAAGAGACTCGCCCAGCACACACAGCGGGTTCTTCACAATGTACTCCACGTACAGCTGCAGTCAGACAACACACACAAGCACAGTTACCGCAGTACAACCAGACAGCATTAGTAGAGTACAGCGGTGTGTTACCATGCTGTGGAGAACAGCGAGTGTGTTACCGTGCTGTAGATCTGCTGCAGTGTGTCTCTGCAGTTCGGCACGCCCAGGTCTGTGTTCATCACCAGTTTGATGCCCGTTGGAGTTTCATAATAATGCAGCTTATACCGGCTGGTCTGGAATGCCAGAAACCCATCTTTCCTGAAGAGTTTGGTTAAGGAAAAAACACACACACACACACACACACACACACACACACACACACACTCTCTCTCTCTCTCTCCCACACACACACACACAGGATACATGTCCAGCGGACTCATCTTGCTGATGAAGGACCTGATGGAGAACAGCATCCCGTACATCAGCTTGAACTCCTGACAACAGAGGGAACAGAATAATGACGTCACTCTCATGAGCGAATCTGAAACATAACAGATATTTACAACTGGAAGAACATGGGGAAGAATATTATCATACATGCAACTCTCTAAAGGGAATTAAATGAACAGAGGAAAGACCTTAAGAATTAAACAAATTAAAGTATAAACAATAAGGAGGAAATACAAGAAAAAAGAACCTCGTCTTTGGAGATTCCCGCCTGTTTCTTGCGGTTCCACTCGCTGTAATGAAGACAGCTGCCATTGCGGTCAAATATGTAGAAGTTATGAACGGTCATCTGAGAGAAATGAGGAGGATCACACGATTACTGCGGAGATGAGCGAATCATATCAGTCACACACATCGTCAGTATAATGCAGAATAGAGTTAAACACCGGACAAATATCGCTCTATTCTCTGTATTGTTGTTTTTAATTCAAGTTCATTACATTAAATGCTGATGGATTTCACTGTTTACCTTCCGCTCGGCGTCAGCCCTCAGACTGCCCCGACACCTGCCTGAACAATAATCAAAAACTACCCTTGAAAAAATTTAGGCTCTAATATGCTTCAAATGAATATTAATTAAAATATGTATGTTTGTTTACAACATGTAATATATTCCCGCGGCTTTGTTTTCTTATTTATCAGACAGGCGCGATCGTTTAAGACAGGCACATGTTCGGACTCCTGCTAAGGGGTCCTTCAAGTTAAAATTCTCGAGGAAAAAATGGCCGCAACGCTGCAGTTTCCAGCTAATGTTTCATCTTTTAATAATTATAATGATGCCGTTCCTGACTGGACGCAGAGGGAAGTCAGCACAGGGGTGAGAAGCTCTCATAATTATCAGAATAATCTTAATTAGTTGAGTTATGCTGTCGAGAAACGGTTTATTAGGACATAGATGGACGAAACTCGGTGAATGATGCAGCAGAACTGATCTAGTCTCGTCATACAATAACATTTACCTTAAATAGGAATTTCACTCATATGTGATGATGGTCGCATCATTGATCCTGTGTGATTTTCCCGTTTATTACAGTGAAGCTGCTTTGATATATAAATAAATGTGACTTGATTTGGTAAATAGTTTCATTAATCTGTGTAGTATTTTTGTGATGAATGCGAAAACTCTACTGTATTCAATATAAAATGTATCGTTATACGCAATTCTATGAAAACCAAACATTGAATTGAATGTTCATCATTTAGTCATTAATTTAGCAGAATTATTTTCAGTATATCTCAATTTTATATTTAATTTAATTTAATTTTCTTTGTTTTAATACATTTTAACCTTATTTTTTTTAAAATAGGTTATTTTAAAAACAATTTAATGCATTTTAAATTGAATTAAATTTAAAAAATACACTAAATATTTATGAATACTTTGAGTAATTAAAATGTTTTTAAAATTATTTAAATAGCTACATTTTTAATAATTAAATAATTTTTAATAATTGATATTGATGATGGCTTTAGTTCAATTAGGTTCAATTAGAAAATGTATAAACTTGCCTTAGAAAATACACATTACTGATGTGCAAAACAACGGCACTGACATCTTTTAATATGCTCTCAGTTAAAGCAGTGTAAACATGTTTAGTCTGGGCCAGTTTAAGCCTTGTCTGTGAGGTTAGTCCAGGCCAGTTTTAGCCTGGTGTGTGAGGTTAGTCTGGGCCAGTTTTAGCCTGGTGTGTGAGGTTAGTCCGGGCCAGTTTTAGCCTGGTGTGTGAGGTTAGTCCAGGCCAGTTTTAGCCTGGTGTGTGAGGTTAGTCTGGGCCAGTTTTAGCCTGGTGTGTGAGGTTAGTCTGGGCCAGTTTTAGCCTGGTGTGTGAGGTTAGTCTGGGCCAGTTTTAGCCTGGTGTGTGAGGTTAGTCCAGGCCAGTTTTAGCCTGGTGTGTGAGGTTAGTCTGGGCCAGTTTTAGCCTGGTGTGTGAGGCTAGTCTGGGCCAGTTTTAGCCTGGTGTGTGAGGTTAGTCTGGGCCAGTTTTAGCCTGGTGTGTGAGGTTAGTCTGGGCCAGTTTTAGCCTGGTGTGTGAGCTGTGTGTGTTGTTGTGTTCAGACCACCATCATGGCGGTGGAGTTCGACGGAGGAGTCGTGATGGGCGCCGACTCTCGCACCACCACCGGGTAAGGGACGCTGCTCATGAGTCGAGCTCGCGGGTTGATGATTGTGTGTAACGGATGCTGTGTGTGATGTGTGCAGCGCTTACATCGCCAACCGCGTGACGGATAAGCTCACTCCGATCCACGACCGGATCTTCTGCTGCCGCTCCGGCTCCGCGGCCGACACGCAGGCCATCGCTGACGCCGTCACGTACCAGCTGGGCTTCCACAGGTACACACTCGCACTCCCACTCCACACACACTCGCACTCCCACTCCACACACACCAACACTCATGGACACAGAAGAGAGATTGTATTTGGCTGGAAATATAAACAGTTTAGATGACCCTGACACTCTCTCTTTCTCTCTCTGACCCCTGACCTCTCTGTGACCTCTGCCCTCTCTCTGGGCTCCAGCATCGAGCTGGACGAGGCACCTCTGGTCCAGACGGCAGCGAGTCTCTTCAAGGACATGTGCTACAGATACAGAGAGGAGCTGATGGCCGGCATCATCGTGGCCGGATGGGACAAGCGGAGGGGCGGACAGGTGTGTGTGTAACAGGACAAGCGGAGGGGTGTGTGTGTGTGCCTGCGTACTCATCTGAGTGTGTGTGCAGGTGTACACAGTGCCTGTGGGAGGGATGATGACCCGGCAGCCGGTGTCGGTCGGTGGATCCGGCAGTAGTTACATCTACGGTTATGTGGATTCAAACTATAAAGCTGGAATGACCAAAGAGGAGTGTCTCAAATTCACTGCAGGAGGTCAGACACCCTCACACACACTCACTCTCACGCAGCTTTGATCACAGGAATAAATTGCACTTTACTGTATATTCACACAGAGATCAGCTGATTTACACTGGAGTAATATTTCACTGTTTTACTGTATTTATGATCAGATATATGCAGCTGTGATGAGCAGAACAGACTCTCAAAAACAAAATCATACAATGTTTTTATCAGTCATAGCATGTGTGTGTGTGTGTGTAGCGCTGACTCTGGCCATGGAGCGAGACGGCTCGAGTGGAGGAGTGGTGAGGCTGGCGGTGATCTCGGAGCTGGGAGTGGAGAGACAGGTGATCCTGGGGAACCAGTTACAGCAGTTCTCCACCGTCTGAGTCTCAGCGACTCCAGCACATGTTCGGCAGTGAAGCTCAATAAACATGATTTCTCACAACTGTTCACTGGTGTTCACTGGCTTAATTCAAGATCCCAGTTTAAGTGCACGCGCTTTCGCTTGTACATTTGTAAAGATAAGATGTGCGTTTGGGGGCGGGACTGTCTGACGGACCAATGACAGACGAGATCTGTTTCACATATTATATTATCTTTACAGTTGAAACTGAGTGTTTCATATTTGATGAAGTTTGCATTAAACCAACAATTATACCTGACACCAGAGATCTTTTTTTTTTTTTTTTGTTCCACTAGTGTGTGATCAGGACACTGTAGTTCATTTCTGTAAGTGAGGAGAGCAAAATAAAGGAAACTGTGACATATTACATTCAAATATTGTTCATACAGTGACTACCAGTGACATTTATACACATTTGTGACCAATAATGATTCCTCCATTTTGAGCTGATGATGTTTTGCTGAAGTGTGTTTTCTGTAATTGCTAATGCTCTTTTTACACACACACACACACACTGAACAACATGAAGCATTGCTTGGTCACTGGTTGAGCTAAACTGGGAGTTAAATTTAACCCCTTCAGACCTGAATTATGTTTCAAGTTTCTGAAAAATATAAATCTCACAAGGTTTCTATAAATGAAAAAAAATGGAGGCTCTAGACCCTTTCTGAGCTGACATATTGAGATCCCACGAACCCACTATTTTTATAATGGCAGTGCAAAAAAACGTTTCTCTGATCTTCTTGAAACTATGGATTCTGATAGAGGGCCATGAGACTTAGACCTGAGTGCAAAAATGGAGGCTCTAGACCCTTCCAGAGCTGAGATATGGACATTCCCACGTAGCATTTATGAACCTTTATTTAAATGAACCTTTATTTTAGTAAATAACCTCTTCTTTCCTACCTAGGCCTACGTTTTTTATTACTTTATTCATTAAAGTGTAAAGAAATATCACCCCTTTTGTCAGTGTTCCACTTAACTTGTCGAAAATTCTTTACCTCAAAATAAGAAATTTTCTTTGGCGCGCGTTTTGGACTCGTGCCCGCGGCGGGAAGTCACGTGTGCGATCGAGAGATGAGGTGAGGACAGTGGACGCGCACGTCGGCGTCAGTGTGTGTGTGTTTCGCTTCAGCTGCTGTCTGAGGTTTTTTTGTGGATAAAGAGGGCGTTGCGCGATCGTCGCTCGCTCGAGTGTGTGCGGAGAGTGCGTGCGAGCGAGGCGTCAGCGCGGGATTCACGGAATCTGACACACATTAGGTGAGTTGCAGAGCGTTAGCTAGAAGCTAAAGCAAGCTATTGTCTGTGTGCCGCGCGCACGTGCACGTACATCTTCACATCACCTCATCTATCTATCTATCTATCTATCTATCTATCTATCTATCTATCTATCTATCTATCTATCTATCTATCTATCTATCTATCTATCTATCTATCTATCTATGTGTATGAATGTCTTTTTAATAGTCTGTTGTTCTGTCTGTCTCTTTTCTGTCAGATTCTCGTGTGAATAAAGTTCTCATCTTCTGCCTTGTTTCTCTATCTCGTGTGTGTGTTGTGTTGTAGTGTGTGTGTGGTGTGTGCGTGTGCGTGTGTGAGAGAGAGATGGTGATGGAGAAGCCGAGCCCCCTGCTCGTAGGACGCGAGTTTGTGCGGCAGTACTACACACTCCTGAATAAAGCACCGGATTACCTGCACAGGTGAGAGGACAGGGGTCAAAGGTCACCGTAGCTGAAGCCAGGCTGGTCGTCTGATGGTTGTTTATGTTGAGCAGGTTTTATGGCAGGAACTCCTCGTATGTTCACGGTGGGCTGGACGGCAGTGGGAAACCAGAGGAGGCCGTGTTCGGTCAGGCGGTGAGTCTTTGAAACCTTTCCCGATCTTTTCATGGCCTAACCCTATATGATTAAAAGTAAAAGCCAAATCGCGATGTCTGTTACACACAAGTATTGATTGACAGATGACATCATATGATCTCCTCTGTGACGGGACGATCAGCACCTTCTAAAGGGATGGTTCACCCAAAAATAAAAATTAGCCCATGATTTACTCACCCTCAAGCCATCCTAGGTGTATATGACATTCTTCTTTCAGACAAATGCAATCAGAGTTATATTAATAAGCTCTATAAAAACAGTGAATGGCTGTTTCTGTTTTAAAGTCTATAAAAGTGCATCTGTCCATCATAAGAGTGCATCTGTCCATCATAAGAGTGCATCTGTCCATCATAAAAGTGCATCTGTCAATCATAAAAGTGCATCCATCCATCATAAAAGTGCATCTGTCCATCATAAAAGTGCATCCATCCATCATAAGAGTGCATCTGTCCATCATAAGAGTGCATCTGTCCATCATAAAAGTGCATCTGTCAATCATAAAAGTGCATCCATCCATCATAAAAGTGCATCTATCCATCATAAAAGTGCATCTGTCCATCATAAGAGTGCATCTGTCCATCATAAAAGTGCATCTGTCCATCATAAAAGTGCATCTATCCATCATAAAAGTGCATCTGTCCATCATATTTAAAACCTAATAAAGTCAAATAACTAGCTTCCGGCCTAACAAACATATGGATTTGACTGAAGTATAAAGTAATGCGACGCACTGCTGATGAGTGTGCGCTACACCATGACACACTACGCTACTTCTGACACCATGAGTTGTGCATTAGGCATAAGTACAGTGAGGAAAACAAGTATTTGAACACCCTGCTGTTTTGCAAGTTTTCCCCCTTAGAAATCATGGAGGTGTCTGAAATTGTCATCGGAGGTGCATGTCCTTTGTGAGAGACATAATCTAAAAACAAAAAATCCAGAAATCACAATGTATGATTTTTTTTTAAACTATTTATTTGTATGATACAGCTGCAAATAAGTATTTAGTATTCTAAAAAAAATGTAAACATTATAAAGTGTTAAATATGAATATTTTTCTTACTCTAACGCATAGCTTCACTTCTGTCTCTTGTGGCGGCGCGCGGGCAGTCTTCACTTGGGCAGTCTATTGCAGTTGCGGATCTCTATTCATTCCGGTGATATCACAAAATAAAATGCACAAGAACGTGTCCCTGCTTGATATAGACTGTAACCACTGACGAACGTATTCAGTTTTGATGAGAGAGAAAAACGTAGAACCTGTAACCTCTGACACGCTTGGCTAAAGATCTACCACTAGACCATTAAAAAACTCTAACAAAACTTGCGGATTGACGCATTTATTTACGAGTTGGGCAGAGAGACTCATTCTCTATACCCTAGTCTCTTCTGACCGCATATTCTTTGTTTGTTCCATCGTCGAGTATATTATAATATTACTGTTAAATGAAGGTACAATTCTGGCATAGTGTGCCTTTAATCATGGATAGATGCACTTTTATCCTGGATGGATGGACTTTTATTGACTTCAGATTTACTGTAAATCTGCTTTGAATCTGTCTGTTTTGGATAAAGCACTGTAGAAATACAGCTGACTTGAGAGTGTGTGTGTGTGTGTGTGTGTGTGTGTGTGTGTGTGTGTGTGTGTGTGTGTGTGTGTGTAGGAGATCCATAAGAAGGTGATGTCACTGCAGTTCAGCGAGTGCCACACTAAGATCCGTCATGTTGATGCTCACGCCACCCTGGGGGACGGAGTGGTGGTACAGGTGATGGGAGAGCTGTCCAACAGTGGAAGACCCATGAGGAGGTTCATGCAGACCTTCGTCCTCGCTCCTGAGGTGTGTGTGTGTGTGTGTGTGTCAGTGCCAGTGTAAGACAGGGCTTTAAACGGGCCATGTGCGGCCAATAGCCTTGGACCTGTAGCACCGAACCCAAAACCAGTGGCGTTTCCATCGTCAGGCCAGAACAAGCGTGCCGTCGAAGTCTTGAAAAGTGAAGCCAAAGCGTATAGCTCATAAACCCAAAGTCTCGATTGCCCCCTGGTGGCTGGTACCACCAATAGACCAACAATACTTTTATGTCATCGGAGGGTAACGCCCCCTTTTGGGGGAAACAAACGGATACCCCTGAGAACAGAACTCGCTCTAGATCTGCAAAGTTTCTTGATGGCAAAAATGGCACCAATTTAAAGAAGCTACTGGATACGAGGTTACAGAGGTGTCCCCTTGAAATGGTCTAAAACTTAATGGTCCAAATATGGACTATTCAGACATCTACCGCTATCTCATGGAATCACACTCACAATATGACAAACTAGACGATGAGGCAAACTTCAATGATGCAAAAGTAGTGTTGGTCTATGGCTAATAAACCCCGAGTCTCGATCTATTACTGGGACCAGCCACGGGGGGCATAGCTCTTATAGCTTGAGTCTCGATCGCCCCCCAGTGGCTGATCCCAGTAATAGCTCAAACCCAGAGTCTTGATCGCTCCCTGGTGGCTGGTCCCAGTATATCTCAAACCAAGAGTCTCGATTGCCCCTCGGTAGCTGGTTCCAGTATATTTCTGTTAACCCAGAATCTCGATCGCCCCCTGGTGGCTGGTCCCAGTATAGCTCATTAACCTTGAGTCTCGATTGCTCCCCAATGGCTGGTCCCAGTCTAATGGTATGCAAGTGAAACTACACAATAACAATCACACAATCAAAATAACACTTCAAACTAGTTTTCTAGTTTTTTTCAAAGACGAGTGTGTGTGTGTGTGTGTGTGTGTGCAGGGCTCTGCTGTCAACAAGTTCTACGTGCACAATGACATCTTCCGCTACGAAGAGGAGGTGTTCGGAGACTCTGAGGCTGAGCTGGGAGGTAGACTACTGAACCTTAAACATTGAATGTTTCACAGAAGAAAAACTCATTCAGGTTTAAACGACACAAGAGCAAGTAAAAGATCATTTGAAACTTGTGTGTGTGTGTGTGTGTGTGTGTAGAGTCTGAAGAAGAGGAGATGGAGGAGGAGGAGGAAGAAGAAGAGGAGCTGGTGGAGACTCGTGCTTCTCCTGAACCAGTACTGGACCGTCCCAGCAGCCCCTCCTACTATGAGGCGCCCACCCATGTCAGGTACCCAGCATGCACCTCTTCCACTCGCACCTTCTGTCAGGTCCCAGCATGCACCTCTCCACTCGCGTCCGTGTCATTAAACTAACTGCGGCTTTGACTGTTCGATGTACCGCAGTAATGGAGTGGAGGAGCAGCAGGAGGAGGCGGAGCCTGAGGAAGAGCCCGAGTCCCAGCTGGAGCCACTGGCCATTCAGGACGCGGAGGCGGAGCTTATCCCAGAGGTGGAGCTACATTCGTCAGAGGCGGAGCCTGAAGAGAAATTGCTGGAGGAGACAGGCTCCACCCCTGTGCCCGCTCTGACTCCGCCCCCTCTCACCCCAGAGCCGCCCAAGGTATCGTGTGTGTGTGTGAGAGTGTGTGTGTGTGTGAGTGCGGTGCTGTGATGATGCGTGTGTGATGTCACCGCAGGCGTTCTCATGGGCTCTGGTGACCAGTAAGAATCTCCCGCCGGCCGGCGCTGCGATCTCTCATGTGCTGAAAGCCAGTGTTCAGGTACAGCACCACGTGACCCTTCTGCCACTCACTCCACACACATGCCCAGATCATGACATCAGCGGCTCAGGGCGGCTACGACCCCAGCGTTGTGTTTCTCAGGGAACAGTTCCTGGCGGTTGTGTTGGGGTTTAGTATTTCAAATATCTTTAGTCTGTTGTTTTAGTAAATATTAAGATGATATTCAGAATCAATTATGCAAACTTCATCAATTTCAGCTGTGCAGCTCATAAAGACAGCTCTGACTCTGAGATATTGAGTGTAAGGTGTGTGTGTGTGTGTGTGTGTGTGTGTGTGTGTCTCAGCCGCGAGTGGAGTTCAAACATGACAGTCAGAGAGAGCCCAGAGACCAGCGGAGAGAGAGAGGCTTCCCTCCACGCGGACCCAGAGCAGGTGATACACACACACACACACACTCACTCACTCACACACACTCACACACACGTGATCTTTAACAGTTTGGTTGTGTGATGTAACGGCTGCTGTTGTTGTTTGTCAGATGGCAGCGGTTCCGAGGGTGGGAAACAGTACATCAGTTTTAGGGGTGAGTTTCCTGTCATGTGACTCGTTGACTCGACCAAACATTAAAAATCCTCATTCACCCAAAAGCAAGAGTGAGTGAAGATGTTTCCTTCATGGGTCAGGCATGGCCAGCCGCCGCGAGACACACACCGGCTTACTGTAGGTGTCAGGTGATCGCGATGCGTTACGGCCGATTAACTGCTCATGTGCACGTGTTTTGTCTTACAATTTACACATTTGAGTGTGTGTGTGTGTGTTTATAAATCTCCGTCTCGGCAAGTGCTCTCTGTTCTGTCCCCTCATATTAAGCCTCATATCCCCACTGTTTCCTGTCATTAAACTTCCTGAAACAACAAAATCTGCTTTAACAGCGATACAACTACTGGGTCGTGGTTTAAATAAGCTAATTGCTTTTGCCTGCTCCTTCTCAAACAAATTTTTTTTTTTTTTTTTTTTTTTGGTATTATTACTACTATTATTTATATGTACATACTTATTTTCTGGTGGTTGTGTTTTACTTTGTGGTTTCAATTATTGTTTTGTTGTATATCTATGTTGATTGTTTGAGACAAAGAATTAAAAAAAACAAAAAAAACTATATTTAACTTCTACAGTGAACAGTGTTATTTTACATTTAGGATAAATTATTCATTTCTGCACCTGAATACTGTTAGACTTTAACTTTACTTAGTTTCGTCTCTGCTTGCACTCTGTGCATTTGTTCTTATTTTATTATTGACTGTTCTCTAGTTTTTAATACTACTCAGTTATTCTAGTTAGTTTGGTATCGAAATCAAATAACTTTCAGTAAGCTTTAATTTATAAAAAAGCAAAGTCTCCCCTCATTTATGCATATATGTAAAAATTGTTGCTGGTCCAAAAAATGATCTGATCCGTGGCTCAAAATCCGAAAATGAAACGAACTGTGGATTTTGTGGTCTGTTGCACCACTAATTTTCTGTGTGTGTGTGTGTGTGTGTGTGTGTGTACAGGTCGCGGTGACTCTGACGGTGACTCTGAGGGCCGCAGGTCTTTTCGTTATCCAGACAGTCATCAGCTGTTTGTTGGAAATCTTCCTCATGACATTGATGAGGTTGAACTGAAGGAGTTCTTCATGAGTGAGACCTTTGACCCTTGACCTTGCTGATGATGATGATGATGCGAGTGTGTGTCTGCTGTGATTTAATGCCGCTCTGTTTCGTCCAGCGTTCGGGAACGTGATGGAGATGCGGATCAACACCAAAGCCGTCGGAGGGAAACTGCCCAACTTCGGGTTCGTGGTGTTCGACGACTCTGAGCCGGTGCAGAGGATTCTGGGAGCAAAGGTCTGTGTCTGTACAGCTCATTTTGTGGGACAGACTCGGGGATTGTTTATCGGCCTGTGCCAGTTATATCATAGTTTCACATAAGTGTTTGGTCTCTCCAGCCCGTCATGTTCCGCGGGGAAGTGCGTCTGAACGTGGAGGAGAAGAAGACCCGAGCGGTGCGCGAGCGAGAGATCCGCGGAGCGCCTGACGGGCGACGGCCCCGCGGCATCATGGGTAACGGGCGCGGCACGGCGAGAGGAGCGATGGCTCGAGGAGATAGCCGATACACACCGCGCCGCTGAGACACACGCATCACACACACTCTTTACTCTCGCTTTCCTGTGTTTCTCAGCGTCTCTCTCTGGGACGGGCTAAGACTCTGAACTCACTCATCTGCGCTTTACTTTCAATTATTCTCACGGTTTTGCAAAGATAAAGAAGAACGGGATTTTTTTCCTATCGAGTCACGAAGTTGTTTTGTCCTCATGGAACTGAATTCTGCACATTTTTCTAACGGATGAACATCAGCGCTTCATCATAAATCAGTGCTCAGTGTACAATTATTTATTTTCCTAGTGAATGAAACAGGTGTGGTGCCTTATATCTGGACTCCGCGTGTCCGGAGTGATCCCGGGCCGGTCCTCGTGTTTCTTGTTTTCTCAGTGTCTTTGCATGGCTGATGTGGGACGACTCACACAACACTGTCTGCCTGCATTCGGTTCTGGGTTCAGATTGGACTTCAGCAGGGTTTTGTTTGAATGTGTTTTCAACTTTCAATAAACTACTGAAATCTGCAGCAATGTCATTGAATTTCTTTGTGTGTTTTTTTTTTAAATAATAATAATAAGCTTTTTTTATAGTCAAGTCTTTTATTTCTATAGCATTTTTTGCTCCACAGAAAAGCTTTACAGAGATAACAGGAGAATAATCCAACAAAGTTTGTTTCCGGAAGAGAATAGCGTAACAGTCCAGCTTAAGTCAGTTCTGGGACGTTTCATTTCTGTTGTAAAAAAGTTATCTTCCAGCTCAGTTCAGTTCTCATATACTGCCGTCACTGCAGGAGATCAATACATCAGGGTTTTTGCGGTGTCTTAAAAAGTCTAAAATTTCAATATCACAATTTAAAGCCATAAAAAGGATTTTATGTCCGTTTTGTGCGTTATTACACAAAAAGCTTCAAGATTCTGAAGATAAAAAGGTTTCCCATCAAATGCATAAAAAGCAACCCTAAAATTGTATTTTTAATGTGTTTGTTTTGATCAACTCCTTCCTCATGAGCAGTTTTCACAGAAGTTATGGTTTCATCCCTGATAAAAACTAACACATCGGCTCCATTCCACATTCGTCGAGGCGTCCGCCATCTTGGAACGGTCAACACGAGCTCGTCACAGCATCTGTAAACAGGAAATGCCAAAGCCTTCCAGAGGTGAGAATGTGCTAGTTTGTGTTTTTATGTACAACTCAATATGATAAACAAAATTCTGTGAAATTCATCTGCCAATGTATAGCCTATTACAGATATTATAGAAGCTTGTTTCCGTGACAGAATAGAAAATAAAAAGGTAATTGCGACTTTACCTCACAATTCTGACTTTATTTATTCGAATTGCAATCCTGAGGGAAAATGTTAGTCTCTGTTTTGCTTAGAATGGACATTATATCGTGTGTGTGTGTGTGTGTGTGTGTGTGTGTGTGTGTGTGTGTGTGTGTGTGTGTGTGTGTGTGTGTGTGTGTGTGTGTGTTTGAGCAGCACCTCGGTGTTTTCCTGTTATTCATGAATGAATGTGTTTTTGGATGAAATGGGCCGTAGCTATTATCTCCGTCTCTCACACACTCTTTCCTTCTCACTGATGGTCAGTAGTATTGGAATGAATCCTCAGACACATGATTAGCGTGTGTGTTCAGTGGCAGAGATAGACCACAGGAGGACGCTGAAACACACTGAACACACAGCTGCTCAACTATCAGTGTGTGTGACGAGAGAGAGAGAGAGAGAGAGAGAGAGAGAGAGAGAGAGTATGTGTGTCTACTCGCGTAGTCAGACAAAGAGACAGGCTGTTATTTTAAAGATTAACTATGGACTGTGGGCATGTGTGTGTGTCTGTGTCTTTCTGTTCATCAAAGAATCTTTTTTTTTTTTTTTACACAACGGTAAACCTAACCCTAACCTCTATAATATAACTGTAAACATTCATCATCATCACTCAAATCATAAAAGCATTAAACTGTAATGTTTAGGTAAAACACATGTTTAAGAGTTTCTCAGAGTTTCTCTGGTTACATGAACTATTAAAATGTGCTCAAAAACTGTAATTGATGTAAAGTGTGTGTGTTTCTGTCTGTAAGCGTCTGTGTATGTTTGTGTGTGGGTGACAGAGCGTCTCAGTGATGATGCCTGTCTGCATCTGCTCTATAAATGCTCCTGAACACCTGACTGAACACCTGAACACCTGAACACCTGAACACCTGAACATCTGAACACCTGGACACTTGAACACCTGGACATCTGAACACCTGGACACTTGAACACCTGGACATCTGAACACCTGGACACTTGAACACCTGGACACCTGCAGGACTCAGAGATCAGAGACTCCATCATGTTCTTCTACAGATCCAGGGTTCTCCTGCTTTTGTGTGTGTGGGGAACCTGTCCTCTGACTACAAACCAGGTGTGTGTGAGAAGCTCAAATACTACAGATCTTTGGATAAGAAATACATGTACATTATTATTATGTGTGTGTGTCTGTGTTTAGTTCCCAGTTCTCTGAGGCTTCAGTTATTATATGTAAGTGTGTGTGTGTTAGTTCCCAGTTCCCGGAGGCTTTAATCTCCTGCTGTATCCGGTGTCGGTGCCGGGGGCGTTCGGACCTCAAACACTTCTGATCCCGGTGACCACAACGGAGCAAAACACACAGCACACACACACTCCACAGGCCAACAGAAGCAAGGTGAGTGTATACTGAGAAGTGTGTGTGTCGATGTGGTCTAGCCCGTTCTTCACTGCTGATTCTCTTCACAGATCACTTCTCAAAGTTTGTCCAGGCCTTCAAATGCAAACAGTGCGCTTCTCCAACCAGAGCCAGAGCGAGGCCCTGCCCCCAACACTGGCCCTGACTCCGCCCCCGGCCCCGCCCCTGATCTGCACACACTCCCCTCTGAGTCTCCAGCTCTGCAGGGACAGGTAAACAACAACTCAAACACACTTCCTCAGTGTTGGCCCCTGTTCTGTGTGTCATGTGTGTGTGTGTGTGTGTGTGTCTCTCTCTCTGCAGATGCAGAACCTCCTCCCCTCGATCGTCCCGCTGCAGGTCAGGATCCCGTCACTCGTTACTCACTTCCTCATTCTGTAGATCAAGTTAAAAGTCAAAGGACACTAAATGGATTTTAACAGAAGATGTTTATCATTTATTTATCATTATTGTGTGTGTGTGTGTGTGTGTTTCAGGTGTATTCGTTTGTCCAGCAGGCTGTGCTTGTGAGTGTGTTCGTGATACAGTCAAAAAACTAAAGAATTCTGCTTAATTCATTTTTAATTTATTTTAAAAACATTTATTTGTATTTCAGTCTGACTCGGGCAGCTCAGAGGAAGGAGACACTGCTCAGGTACCACACACACACACACACACACACACACACACACACTGCTGACAGTGGATGACGATGCTCTGGTTCCTCAGGTGCTGGTTCTGCTTCCTGTGCGTGTGGATTCTCCCAGTATGGGTGTGATGGAGGCCAGCGCTCCGGTTCCCGACCCAGGACACCTGCAGGTCCCGCTCTCCACATCCACCGCTCCTGCTCACACACACACAGCAGCACACACACTCTCTCTGGGGAACAAGAAGAGACTCTGAGGACCATCAGGATTTTAATTAGACATTAAAGATGTCTTTACTGTAGCTTTTGATCAGTTTAATGCATCCTTGCTGAATACAAGTATTGATTTTTATTTATCAACTTTTGATTAATGTTACAAAAGATACTTTCTTTTATTATCAACGAATCCTGAAAAAAATTGTACAAATGTTTTCATCACTGCTAATAATCATAAGTGAGCATCAGATCCTCATATTAGAGTGATTTCTAGAGGATCATGTGACTCTGAAGACTGGAGTAATGATGATAAATTCAGCTTTGATCACAGGAATAAATTACACTTTACTGTATATATTTATTGGAATAATATGTCACTGTTTTTTCTGTATTTTTGATCAAATCAGTGCAGCCTTGGAGAGACTCTTTCAGAAACACTAAACACATAACCGATACCAAACTTTTGAACGGCAGTGCATACATATAGTACACACTCAACAAATGGACCCAAAATGGCTAAACACTAAGATTTGAATAGTCTTCACACATTATTGGTCGGGAAATTGTAAACATTTAAATGAACAAAAAATAATAAAAAATAATCAAAGACAGAGTGTAGTTTTGTGTGTAGGTGTGCGTATCTTCAATCTCCTAACTAACACCCTAGCAACCGCCTAGCAACCAATCAAAATACCCTACCCTAGCAACTAAAAGAAAACTGCCTCAAACTTCAGGTTTTTAAACTATTTCAGACTTAAAACTCTTTGAAAATTAAATTAGCCTAGCTAGCTAGCTTCCAAAACGACTTACTCAAACTCAAAACTTTATGACTTAATGCGGTTAAATCTAGCTGCTTCTGGTTCTCAGGCCAACATAAAGTTGATCTAGATTTGCGTTTCCGACAGCCGAAGTAATGTTTCCAGCAGATACGCCAGGCTGAATTCTGCTTATCATGTTCATATTATTTGCCTTTGAATAACACTGAAATGAGATGGACGTTCTGATTAGTCGTTCTCAGGACGTGAGAACTCCTCGTTTCCTCTCGGAGTGCGTGACCTTTGACCTTCAGTGGCTTTGTTTATTTACATTAACGTTTGGTGCAACCCGAATTCCTGTCTTCCTCTACTAATTTTAAATGTTTATTTATTGATAACGGTTTGTTCCCGTACTAAATATCCTAGTTTAATCTCTTATCGTTTATAGAGTCGTGGGTTAAAGTATTCATCTTAATGAGAGATTGGTGTATTTGGTCTGTGACACACAGTTCTTCAAGGTTCATATTTGTTTCTCTGTTACTGACGGCTGGTCTATAGTAATAGGGGGACCAACAGTCCTGTTTTCCCAGGACATGTCCTGTTTTCACGTCCTGTCCTGGCTGTTCTTTATAAAGTGATGAAAATGTCCTGGTTTTCAAAAAAACTGCTGGGAAAGATCAGCTCTACAGCAAAATATAGATGTGCAAGGATGAAAAACTGGATAAAGTGGAAAAAAAACTAAAGATATAAATATATTTTGTTAGTTCTTTTTGGTAAGTTTGTGAGAGATATTTTTATTTTTGAAACCTGTCATAATAAAACGTTGAGTACCCTCTGAGAAGCCTATCTGAATTTGAGTCTTGTAATGTAACAATTTTCTATTTATACAGATGAGGCATAGCCTACTTTCATTGTATTGAAATTAATAAGGCATCTTTGAGTAAACTTTGAGTATCATTTGAGTATCTGTTTGCTGGCCCAAGTGTCCTGGTTTTTGGTAATCAAAATATGGTCCCCCTATATAGTAATACAGCAATTCACATTTTCTATTAAAATGCAGATTCCTTTAGTGTTTTCTAAACTTTTCTGAATTTACAATGAGGTGCATTGGCTAACATTAGTTAAAGTATTACCCTAATAACTATTTAATATTAACAATAGCTATAAAACCTGTAAAATAACACATTTTGTTTTAATGTGATTATGGCATGAGAGGAACTGTATGACTGTATCTGGTACTTCACGGACCTTTATCAGTTTGGACCATCAACAGCAGCGCAGCGCGAGCTAATCTTGATGAGATTAAAAGATGAGTTTATCTATAGATCTACCTGTTGAGCCACTCGTGATCAACTAGTTTTGGTTTTTACCCCAAATTAGTTAAAATATCCTCTAATCTAGAGCGAGCGTGCACGCGAGACAGATGTTGAGCTCCTAACGGCGCGGACGCAAAGCCAGGACTGGAGCAAAAGCCCGTTCCTCTCTGCACTCTAAGCGTTCTGTTATCACTCCAGTCCGCTGTAGTCCACTACGGGGTTTCCAGTCTCAGTCACAGGAAACACTGCTTCGTGTTCAATCGATTTTTAAAAGATAAGCTTGTGTTTTATTTTTTTATATATATCACAAACGTCTGGATTTATAATACTATATGTAATGGTTTGGAAATTATTCCACACGTTTAATAAATGTTACAAACAATTTTAGTTTGCCAGCAGTTAATAATAATAATATAATATAATGAGAAAGTGAGAAGCAGTAACATTTCTCCGATAAAACAGCGCTGACGTGGTGTGACTGAATGAACTAGTTATAGGTTTTAAGACCACAGATCAGCAACATTCACCGTGGATTTAATGTAGTAACACTAACTTGTAACCATGGGGGAAAAAAGTAGCCTATATCACACATTTTTTCCAGCACTTCAAAAATCAAAATAGTATTATATTTAAAAATATATTTTTAATGAGACGACCAAAACATTGTTTGTTCATCCTTCAAAGATTACCCCCATTTGTAAAACTAAAAGTTTCAAGATGTAGGAAAACTCTTCAAAGGTGCCAGAGTGGAGACACGTGTACTGGGGACTCGAGACTCGACTCGGACTCGAACTCAGGTAATGGTGACTCGACTCGGACTCGAACACTGGGACTCGAGACTCGACCGTTGGTGACTCGACTATAACACTGTGGAGATCAGATCAAGCAGACAGGTGATTGGAAAGGGGAAGTTTGGAGAACTCTGACACTGAGAGTGGAGAGAAGGAGGAGAGAATGTGTGTGTGTGTGTGTGTGTGTGTGTGTGTTTACTGTTAAGAACTGCAGATGAAGTCTTGAGTTAACCTGAACGCTGCAGATTAACGGCTTTATGGGTAAGTAGTCAAGAGAGCTGACTAGGCACATTATCAGAGATAATCTCTCAACCTGCTGCACTCAAGGTGAATATCACACACACACACACACACACCATAATTAACACACACATGTTAAATACACATATGATGAGACCAGAACTCAAAACACAAGATCACAGAGAGGAAACTGATGCTGTACAAATGCAAACTGGAACTAACTGAGGCAACTCGACAGAGGCTGTACAAGCATTGCTAAATTAAAGAGACACTGAGAGAATTCTGATCCCATTCTGGTGGAAACATGAAGAAACTGTGAACGGATCCCAACTCGAGTGTGTGTGAGCGAGAGATTTTGTATCTGTGTGTGAGTGAGAGTATGAGTGTTGTGAGTGTGTTTGAGTGAGTGAGTGAGTGAAAGTGAGAGAGAGAGAGTGTGTGTGTGTGTGTGTGTGTGTGTGTGTGAGAGAGAGAGAGAGAGAGAGAGAGAGAGAGAGAGAGTGACCCAGTGTATCAGTAGTATCCTGTGTAATCCCAAATCCCACTGTGCCTGTTTGAAATCCTCTCGTGGTCCGAGATCGATTGGGAATACTGAATAAAACCGACACCATTCAGGATTTATTACAAATGTTCTGCCCTTCAGAACAGAAAGTGTGTGTGAGAGAATGAGTTATACCTGTGATGATGTCAGCGCAGCACTCAGGTGTGTGAAGGCAGTCAGGTAAGTCGCTTCACACACACACACTCATTTACACTTTACTTCCTTTTAAAACAGAGAAGATGTCACCGTTTGTGTTTATTACACATTCAGCACAACAGAACCCAGTGTTTCATATTGACGTTCTTCCTTTTAACACTTTATTAAAGTAAATGAACATTCCTCAGTTGAGTTTATTTGCCTTTTTTTACAAGATGCATGCAATTAAAATGACACATTTAATGTAAATGTTTAATGATTGTTGTTTTGAAGTATATCTGCAGTGAAAGCGTTGTTCTGTGCTGCAGATCTGTGTGACGGACAGGAGGCCTGACCAATCAGCTGCCATGTCTGCTCGAGTGAGGCCTTTGGTCCCGCCCACATTTCTGGTGGAGGGGGTGGAGCCGGTTACCATGGACACAGAGGACATTATGTGAGCGATGCATTATGAGTGACAGATAATTGGATTATCTCGGATAGAAATCAGTGTTTGGTTAATGATTGCCAAGTTATTATTGGTTATTGATTTGATTTTTTTCCCGAAGAGAAAAAAAGAACCCAGATGCTGGAACTCACTTCAACATCAACATCAACAATAACAATGAAGAGTGAGTACACACACACACACACACGTGCACAAGATGCTTTCAACCCCTTTAATATTTATTTGTCTTTACAGAGAGGAAAAAAAGAAGAAAAAGAAAGAAAAAAAGGAGAAAAAAGAGTAAGATGAGATGTATTGCAAACATTTGTTTCATTCTCAGCTCACACATGGTGGATCATATGATGTGTGTGTGTATATGTGTGTGTTATTCCAGGAAAAAAGAGAAGAAGGAAAAAAAGGAAAAGAAGGAAAAGAAAAAAGAAGCTGAAAAAGAGAAAGAGAAAGAAAAAGAGTTGTAGGTTCATGTTTGTTTGCTCAGTAATTTCTGTCTCTTTGTCATTGTTGTTGTTGACAGTGAAGTGTGTGTGTGTGTGTGTGTGTGTGTGTGTGGAGATACTGATCTAAAAACTCTACATGTTTTGTTCCAGACCGAAGGAGATTGAGGTTGTGGATCCTGCAGGAAACACGTACTATAACTGGCTGTTTGTGATCACGTGTCCCGTGATGTATAACTGGATCCTGATCATCGCCAGGTGCCCGATCTTATCATATCATAGATCAAATGAGCAATATCTCTCCAAGCTACACTATTATAGTGAGTTTGGGTCATACGAGGTACAAAGGTACATCGTGAGTGTGTGTCCCTCCGCTTTCTCCGTGCTCCAGCTTACTTTAAAGCTGTGCTATAATGCCCTTTCACAAGATGAAAAATAAGTCTCTGATGACCCCAGAGTGTGTGTGTGAGAAGTTTAAGCCCATAATACCCCACAGATATTTTTATATAGCACCTTAAAATTGTCGTTTTTTGAGGGTGAGCAAAAACACACTGTTTTTGTGTCCGTCCCTTTAAATGCAAATGAGCTGCTGCTCCCGGCACAGGGGGCGGAGCTTCAAGAGCTAGTGTGTGTGTGTGAGTTTATGTATCTGATTTGGAGTTAAATATCTTCTAGTCATTGATTAGCATATTCTGTCATCATGATAATCTATAAATCGGGGTGTATGTACATTTTAGGGTTTGTGATGTCACTAACCCGGGAGGAAGCTCGTGTAGTTCTCCAGCCGTTTGTTGTAGTCCTTAAAAAGCGATTTAAAAGTACATCTCTTCCTTTGCTTTGAGCGTCGTAACTTTGCAGATGTTGTTTATGTTACTCAAAAAATACACTTTAGAATATTCGATCACATCACCTGTTACACCACCGCGGTTACCGCTCAAACAACAACCACCACACTTCCGGGAACTTCATAATAAGAGTCCCCCGTTTCCTTTAGTAAACAGTCATATGAAATCGTAAACAATATTCAGCACAGAGGTTCAATGTACATTAACACATTTTTTTACTGACTTAAACTTAACAGTTTACACTCAAACAGCAACATTACACACTACCTAAAGTCAAAACATTTAAATCATAGTCAACCACCCCTTTAACATTATGAGTGATCTGATAGGATTATAAATATTTAATTTAGAGGGAGTGGGTCATCTGAGAATACATATATTGTCAGATATGGGCCCTGTGTGATGCAAACGGAGACTCTTCTTCAAGAAGACTTGGCCTGACTCTCTCTCTCTCTCTCTCTCTCTCTCTCTCAGAGCTTGTTTTGAGGAACTGCAGGAGGACTACCTGATTTACTGGTTCTTTCTGGATTACCTGTCCGATGTGGTGTACCTGTGTGACATGGTGTTCAGGACCAGGACGGGTGAGTCCGGCTCCTCCCCGAGAGATCTGAATGCCGAGCGTGTTGAAAATGATCTGTGTGTGTTGGCAGGTTATCTGGAGCAGGGTCTCCTTGTGAAAGACGAGAAGAAGCTTCGGGAACGCTACATGCAGAGCCTCCAGTTCAAACTGGACCTGGCCTCCATGATTCCCACCGACGTTTTCTACCTGTTCTTCGGCCTGAACTACCCGGAGATCCGCATGAACAAGCTCCTCAGGGTCAATCGCCTGTTCGAGTTCTTCCAGCGCACCGAAACACGGACTAACTTCCCGAACGTCTTCCGGATCTCCAATCTCGTGATGTACATTGTGATCATCATCCACTGGAACGCCTGCATGTATTACTCGTTCTCCAAGGCCATCGGGTTCGGAACGGATAAGTTCGTGTACCCGGACACCACGGACCCAGAGTTCGGTCGGCTGGTGAGGAAATACGCGTATAGCATGTACTGGTCCACACTGACGCTCACCACTATTGGTGAAACTCCACCGCCCGTCAAGAACTCAGAGTACTTCTTCGTGGTCACGGACTTCCTGGTCGGCGTCTTGATTTTCGCCACCATCGTCGGTAACGTCGGCTCCATGATCACCAACGCCAACGCGGCGCGCGCAGACTTCCAAGCTCGCATCGACGCCATCAAACAATACATGAGCTTCCGAAAGGTCACCAAAGATTTGGAGAAACGGGTCATTAAATGGTTTGATTTCTTGTGGACCAACAAGAAGGCGGTGGATGAGAGAGAAGTCCTGAAGTACCTGCCGGACAAGCTGCGGGCGGAGATCGCCATCAACGTGCACCTGGATACGCTGAAGAAGGTGCGCATCTTCGCGGACTGCGAGGCCGGGCTCCTGGTGGAGCTGGTGCTGAAGCTCCAGCCGCAGGTCTACAGTCCCGGAGACTACATCTGCAAGAAGGGCGACATCGGCCGCGAGATGTACATCATCAAGGAAGGGAAACTCGCGGTGGTGGCGGACGACGGAATCAAGCAGTTCGTGGTTCTCAGCGACGGAAGCTACTTCGGGGAGATTAGCATCCTCAACATCAAGGGCAGTCGCGCAGGGAACCGCAGAACCGCTAACATACGCAGCATTGGCTACTCGGACCTCTTCTGCCTGTCCAAAGACGACCTGATGGAGGCGCTCACCGAATATCCCGACGCCAAGGCCATGCTGGAGGAGAAGGGTCGGCAAATCCTCATGAAGGTACGAGGCTCTTAAGGTTTGTCGGTTAAGTTAATCGCTAATGATCGTTGCGACGGAAGTGAATCAATCGAAACTAACTTTATCTGGACAATAACTTTACTCTAGAGTAATTCTGTAATCTCCTGTTATCACTGTAAAGGTCGGTTGAAACATCTATATTGTTATAAGCGCTACAGTATATCAACGAAGCTGACTTGAAAGCAGTTGGGCCCAATGAAAGAATATAAAGCTGGGCCCCCTACCGCATTCAGATAATCCATCTCTGGGGGATTTGTCCTTGGGATTTGGATGTTTTGCCGTTAATGATCTCTCTGTTACGCTCATCTGTATCATGACCAAAAATGAGTAATTTAATAACTCCACTTTTTTTGGAAATAGGCTCATTTTACCACTCCCCCAGAGTTAAACAGTTGAGTTTTACCGTTTTCCAATGTATTCAGACGATTTTTTGATATTTAGAAGAATATCAGTAACCAGACAGATTCTGGTCTCATTGACTTCCATAGTAGGAAAAAAATATACTATGGAAGTCAATGAGACCAGAAACTGTCTGGTTACTGATATTCTTCTAAATATATAAAAAAACGGCTGAATGGATTCGAAAACGGTAATGACCGTTTAACTGGAGGAGTGGTCAAATGAGCCTATTTTCAGAAAAAAGTGGAGTATCCCTTTAAGTAAAATGCAGTGATGCAGCTCTCCACACAAACACTAATAATAGCACACATTTATCTAGGTTAGCATTAATTTGCTACTACTTACATGTTTTAAGTGATAAGCCATATTTGAGGTTGATGAACAATAGGCGAATGTTTGTATTTCCTGCCGTTAATGATCTGTCGATCGCTGACCGTGGAGGTTTTTTTCTCAGAATAAAATCTTAGTCGACCAAACCTCTTCTAGTCAACTAACGGCTAGTCGACTCGACTATTAGGGGGCAAGCCCTACAGATTACTTTTTCAATTTACAACAAAATATTTAAGCTACTTTTAAAATAAGTAACTCTAGATGGATTTCCACATTTATTGACTGACAGCTCTTCTGTCCCCATGTTGAGAGAAATAAAGTGAGGAGGTGTGTGTGTGTGTGTGTATAAATATGATGGTTAATTTAGTTCTACACTAAATGTGAACTTGCAGAAAGATACGACCACGATCGGCCGATGAGAGCAGATCATGTGTGACTCTGATGAGAGCTGTCTCGGTACTATGGTACGCTCTAAATCCGGACTGGAAATCCTCACAGATATCATTTCTTTATGAAAAGAAATATAATTGTGAGGATACTGCTTTTTCTAGTATCTTTGACAGAAAAGCTAGATTCGAGATCGGCCTGTAATTGACTAATTCTGTACGATCATCAAGTTGCATTTTTTTAAAAAGAGGTTTAATCAAATCCAGCTTACATATCCTAATGACAAAGATGAATTAATGATATTAAGAAGAGGATCTATGACCTTAGGAAGCATCTCTTTCAGTAATTTCACACACACAGAGAGAGAGAGTGTGTGTGTGTGAGAGAGTGCTAACCTGTTAACTCGGTGTAAACTAAACTCCCCAGCCTGATGTAATGTGAATACTCTGCTGTTTCTCCACAGGATAATCTCCTGGATCTGGAGCTGGCCAAGCAGGGCCCGGACCCGAAGGACATGGAGGAGAAGGTGCTGAAGATCAGCGGGGTTCTGGACGAGATGCAGACCCGCTTCGCACGCCTGCTGGCCCAACACGAGGCGACTCAGGGCAGGCTGAAGAAGCGGGTCACTAAACTGGAGAAGAAGATCTCAGACTCAGGAGGAGTGGACATCCCTGAGCCATGAGGGAACCAGACAAACCCCGTCAAACTAACGAGTGATAGAGTCCTGAACAGAAGCCTTGTTGTGCGTGTGTGTGTGTGTGTGGTCCAGCTTGGGGTTATCCCATCAGTCTGTGTTTCAGCACTGCAAAAAACGCTTTTCTTACTTAGTATTTTTGTCTTGTTTTCAGACATCAAACATTTCTTAAGATGCATTTACTAAAGTAGTAAAATGAGATAAGATATTATGTCCTGTTTTCTGGGGAAATAAATAAAAATGAAGTGAGTTGATGCTTAAAAAAGCTTAAAAAGTTATCTACCAATGGGGTAAGAAAAATACTAATAATTCAAACAGAAACCTGATTTTTTTTTTCCATCCCATTGGCAAATAATTTGGCTTTTTTAAGCATCACTTCATTTTTATTTATTTCCCAAGAAAACAGGACATAATATCTTATCTCATTTTACTACTTTGGTAAATGCATCTTAAGAAATGTTAGATATTTGGGCTGTAAACAAGAAAAACATACTAAGTAAGAAAAGCATTTTTTTGCAGTGAACAAACAACATAAAATGAAGAAATCTGCTAAATGCAAATGTAAGATATTGTACAGATGATTTGGTCAATACTGATTGTATCATGTTATAAACATGTAATTTATTCTCTTTCACGAGAGAATGTGAGGATAAAATAAATCCTTTTTTGTTAGCAGTAGTAGTTTCACTCAAAACTCTTTGTATTTAGAGAGAAACACTCATAATGATGCTGCTCTAGCAATATCAGTTAAAGGTTTAATCAAAGGACTAAATGGGCTGTGAAATAAAACATTTAAATACTTCTTCAATAAAGAATTCCTGACCAACCCCTTTTACATGGCTTTTCTATTTATTTTGTACTTATTTGTTTATTTTTCTTGCTAATGATGGACTGATAATGTGAAAGGCGGACGTGTCTTTAAAATGACTCCATCTGAACACTGATGGGAGTTGTAGTTTTTTTGAGAGATTTCCGCTTGACTGTCAACTGTTAAGGACTGCATCTCCCATCATGCTCTGCGGCGCTGACGTCTTCCGCATGCGCGCCGATTCCTGGGCTGCTCGTCAGAGTGACTCGTGTCGGTAAGACTCTTTATTATTTGAATCAAATTATTTTTATTTACATTTCACGTGTTTTTCACATAATTATACACTGATTTATTAAATGATCTGGAGAAAGAACATTCGCTTTTATTTGACAGGTGACATCAATCTGCTCTTCAATGCTTTCACCTTGTTTAGTTACCCTTTTATGTCAGTGATTTTGCCGTTTTTCATTTAATTTAATTTAATTTGAATAGTTTAATATTTATTTTATGTTTCATCAGTAATTTCACTCCTGCTTGATTAGTACACTGTTTCTCCGTGATTTACAGCGGTTTGTGATCTTGTCAGATTCAGTCCCTCAGGTTTCCCGCCTGTTTGATGACGTGTGTTGGTTTAGGGGTCTTGTCATGGATCCGGCCTGGAGGCAGCGGGGTCGAGGACGGGGTCAGGGCAGAGGTCAAGTCACGTGTCCTCCCGGACCGGTGAGGTCAGAGGTCAGAGGCGTGTCGTCTGAGTCCCGTTTCGAGGAGATCAGGAAGTGTGACCAGGCCGCCGCTCAACGATTGGCCACTGAGCCGTGCAGCTCTTCCTCTGATGATGAAGATGATGAAGATGATGATGATGGGAAGCGAGGGAGAATCCTTCAGTCGGCTATGTCTCCGTACACGTCTCACACAGGTGATGATGATGGTGATGATGAGGAAGAATGAGCAGAGGTCATTACGTCAGTGACGCTCTATCTGTGTGTCTGTGTCTGTGTGTGTGTGTGTGTGTGTGTGTGTGTGTGTGTTCAGGTGACACTGATGTCCGTCTTCTGGAGCAAACAAGACATTATTTACATGATGTGTGTCAGTCCGGAGGAGTCACATGTCTCATCTGCATCGCTTCTGTCAGGAGGACACAGCCCGTGAGACTCACACACACTCACTCACTCACTCACTCACTCACTCACTCACTCACTCACTCTCTTACTCTCTCTCTCACTCACTCACTCACTCACTCACTCTCTTACTCTCTCTCTTACTCACTCACACGCACTCACTCACTCACTCACTCACTCACTCACTCACTCACTCACACACACACACACACTCACTCACTCACTCTCTCTGTGTGTATCAGGTGTGGAGTTGCGTCGGCTGCTACTGTATTTTCCACATCACCTGCATCCAGAAATGGGCCAAAGACTCGATCTTCCTGGTGTCTTCAGTGACGGACGAGGACTTCGGCAAAAAGGATCATCCGTGGCCATGGTGAGTATCTGACCAATCCCCTCACAGCAATCTGACCAATCACCAAGCATCAGCAGCTAACGCTCTCTCTCTGTGTGTGTGTGTGTGTGTGTCAGTCCGAAGTGCAGGTATGAGTACAGTCCTCATCAGACTCCCACACGATATCACTGTTACTGTGGGAAGGAGGCGGAGCCTGCGCCCGATCCTTGGCTCCTCCCACATTCCTGTGGACAGGTGTGTGGTCGTGAGTTTAAACCATCGTGTGGCCATCGCTGCCTGCTACTGTGCCATCCAGGTACACACACACACACACACACACACACACTCACACACACACTCTCTCTCTCTCTCTCTTATGTTTTGTTTATGAATATTTTTATGTTAACCAAAGGAAACTTTGTACATTTAACTTACAATTGAGTTCTTACAGTATAGTTGTATGTAGCGTGTTGAGGTTTCTGTGTGTGTGTGTGTGTGTGTGTGTGTGTGTGTCAGGCCCCTGTCCCCCCTGCCCACAGATGGTGAGTGTGTCGTGTTTGTGTGGGAAGGCGTCTCGTGTCCCTCGGCGCTGCAGTGCTAAAGCCTGGAGCTGCACTCAGATCTGCAGACGCACACTCCCGTGCAGAACACACACCTGCGCAAACACCTGTCACGCAGGTAACACACACTTATTCCCTGAGGAGAGTGTGTTCAGACACACAGGAGCATTAAGAGTCTCTCTCTCTCTCTCTCTCTCTCTCTCTCTCTCTCTCTCTCTCTCCCCGCAGGTGTGTGTGATCCGTGCCCCAGGGTCAGTGTGCAGGAGTGTGTGTGTGGCCTGCGGCGGGCGGAGCGGCCCTGTGCTACTCCGGAGTGGAACTGTGACCAGGTGTGTGTGTGTGTGTAACTGCTGTTGTGTGTGTGTGTGTGTGTGTTTGTGTGTGTAAACGCTCTTGCGTGTGTGTGTGTGTGTGTAACCGCTGTCGTGTGTGTTTGCATGTGTGTGTGTTTGTGTGTGTAACCGCAGTTGTGTGTGTGCAGGTGTGTGGCCGTCTGCTGTCCTGTGGGAATCACACCTGTGAGCGTGTGTGTCACTCCGGTGTGTGTGGAGGCTGTCCTCGTGCTGGGAATCGCTCCTGTTCCTGCGGCAAGACCAGTAAGTACACACACACACACACACACACCTGTGTCATGTGACGCTGCTGTGGACGAGCGACAGGAATGTCTGTGAAGAAATCGCAAGAAATAGACACAACTGAGTAAAGATATGAGTTAAATAAACAGTGTTTTAGGATTTTCAGGTGTAGAAACATTTTTTAGAAATCTATTATTAGTTAAATATGCAGCGCACATTACATTACATACATAATCATCTCAGGCAAAGCCATAACAATATGTGTAGATGTGTCGCATAAAAGGTTTGTAGCCTGAAGGCTAGTTTGCAGCCCCAGTCCCCGGTCAGGACTTTCCAAAACGATAATTCAAATATAAATATAAAAACTACAGAGTGAGTTACACAATCATGCAGCAGATACACTAATATATTACATCAGTATTTCACAGAATCATGACCTCGTTACACACAACAGCACACACCCCAGACACCCATCCGCTCGCCTGGGCTCCTCTCCCGCGGCTGACCCGTGGCTGACCCGTGGCTGACCCGTGGCTGACCCGCGGCTCGCACCCGCCCACACAGAAGCCTGTTGCTGAGTTTCTTTATGTTAGAAGCGAGCTGAATGTGTTCATGCATTAACAACACAAGTTTGTGTGTGTGTGTGTTCAGAGAGTGTGTTGCCGTGTACGGTCGATGTACCCACCTGTGGAGACACCTGCGGGAAGAAACTGGACTGTGGTTTACACACATGCTCGATGCGCTGCCACAGAGGAGCCTGTGAGACCTGCCGACAGGTACAACTCACACACACACACACACACACATCTCACTTTTAGGATTTATTTGAAGCTTTTTTTTATTCCTAGAGGACTTTAAATGGAGGGACGGAATTTTTGCCAAACAAAATTATTACATTTATCTTACATTGACATTTCTTCATTTAGCTGACGCTTTTATCCAAAGTGACTTACAATCGCTATATATGTCAGAGGTCGCACGCCTCTGGAGCAACTAAGGGTCAAGTGTCTTGCTCAGGGACACATTGGTGTCTCACAGTGGATTCGAACCCGCGTCTCTCACACCAAAGGCATGTGTCTCACCCACTGCGCCACCACCACCATCTTGCCTAAATGTTTGCGCTCATTGCATTTTTACAATGGGAATTGTTGTTAAGAATTACACAACACGAGGCTTGATTTAAATTGTTCCATAAAATTGAACAAAGTAGCCCAAATAAATACAATAAAATAAAGACAAATAAAGAGTAAAGTTTTTGAATAGGTCTAACATTAGTATTAACAGAAACTGAATAAAGTTATCAAATGGAAAATAGCACTGGATAATCCCATATTATTCCCTCCGCTAATGTGTTTTTCCGCCAGCACATCGTGGCCTGTGCACACTAGCTTGCTTGATTTGCGTTAGTTACGTTAAGTGTTTCCCGCGGGAGGTGTGTTTGACGTTGCCATGACGTTCACACGGACGCGAAACTACTACGTTTGCACCTCAACGTTTCATGCAAAAGTTAATCATATTAGAATACAGTTGATGATGTACTGAATATTCTTCAGTTTTATGCAAAACAGAAATATCTGTCACATGGCCAAATATAAATGAAAAAAAGAAGCTTTTTTGCATAGTTGTTTTTGACACATGAAAACTGTAACGATGTATCTTGTATCTGACACGATGTGACCTTGCTCTCACTCGAAGTGCATTAAGTGCTTGAATTTGAGGCTATTGGACCTGGAGAATCCTGGAAAGGTCCTTGAATGTGACGTTAACCGAGGCGTGGGAAGGCTGCGGCGGTGTTGCTCGATCACTGACGCTAACGCAGAGCAGCGATATCTCAAATGAGCTCATCAGGAAGATACGGCTTTCAGTTGTGTGTAATTGTATTGTAAACAGACAATAAAAAAGACAAAGCCTTCTGCTATTATTCGGTGTATTAACACCTCCTCTCTGTCGAAACAGTAAAGTGTTCCAGGGTTGATCCCGCTAATGTTAATCGACTCTGATAACAGGATGGAAGCTCTGGCATTCCAGCCCCGGTTTCCATTCACACTGATGGGGATTTAACAGCAGTTTCCCGGAATCAAAGCTCAGTGCTACTGATTACAGGGGCATTAACCTGTGTGTGTGTGTGTGTGTGTGTGTGTGTGTGTGTGTGTGCTCGCAGGAGGTGGAGAAGACGTGTCGCTGCGGCCGCTACACCAAACTCTTGCCCTGTCATAAAGAATATCTCTGTGAGTCCAAGTGCAACAAGACTCGGACCTGCAGCCGACACCAGTGCAAGAGGAAGGTTTGTGTAACACTCACACACACACACACACATTCCACTCAGATCGCTTTGACACACACGAGCCTCACCACTTGTGCCTCACATTCCTCTGTGTTGCTGATAGCGTGTGTGTGTGTGTGCAGTGTTGTCCGGGGAACTGCCCGGCGTGTG